AGCAGCACCGAAAAATGTCAGCGGGCAATCATCTGTTTCCTCTAGTTGCGAAGCCGCTCGCGCCCCAAGATGCAAATTCGATTGCGCCGCATCTGAAAACATTGTAGACGCACGCGCAAGAATGGCAGCGATGCCCCCAGCGCTCCTTCGCCAACTCCGCCAAACAAGCACGCATTCCGACTCGATCGAGGAAGCTGCGCGGCACGCTTGCTGCGCTTCATGAACTGTTTGCGAATTCCTTTGGGGCGGCGCCGGTCGTGTCCCGAGAGCGCTTCGCGCGTGGGCGATTCGTTTTGCTCGAGTCTGCAGCCAACGCACGCGCGGGCCGCATTGACATCGAAAACGCAAAATTCGTTACGCAAGGGTATGGTTTGCTAGGGGTCGGTTTGGCCGCGCCCGAATATATGCGTGCCAGGAGGTGAGGTCGCAGCGCATGGGCTACACTAGGTGGTGCGCGCAGCAGGCCGCGAAGACCGACGGCCCGAGGGAGCTCGGGCGGTTTGTCTCATGGCTGAACGCTACTGCGGTGATCGAGAGCTGCGACCCATTGGGGGGGCCGAATCCACGGGCCCCACCGGCGCAGCCACAGGCACCCCACGCGACCGCAATGAGGGAGGCCCCGAGGGTCGCAAGAAGGAGGGGCGCGGGCCCCACGGCGCAAGATTCCGAGACGGACAAGGGCTGGCAGGACACCGTGATGCCAGAGGTGGACGCATCTAGTGGCCAGAGCGCCAGGCAATTGTCGACGAGCTCCGGGCCCTGAGCCCTCGCCGGCACCGCGCCGCCTCATCTCGCATTCCATCCGCGAGCAGGGTGGCGAGAAGGAGCTCGGGGCCATAATTTCTCAACGTGGCAGCGCGTACCTGATGGAGTTGCGCCGCAGCCCCTTGTCGCCCCTGAGCAGCGAGATGGAGTGGAAGCGCGGCGAGGGGTCAGCCGCGCGCGCGAGGCCGCAATCTAGGGGCAGTTGAGGGCGACCAGGCGGCCCGCAACGCGAGGGATCAGCGCCGGCCGAAGCATTGGCAGGCGGCATCCAGGCATGGCCCCTTCAGCCCCGCCACCCGGCGCTCGAAGGACAGATCTGGCGACCCAGTCGTCGTGGAGAAACCCGCCAGATGCCCGCGAGCACAAAGGCGCCGCGCAGGTGGCCTACGACCAGGCCGCGACAGGTGGACAGGCCCAATGGGATTGGACCGTTGGTTGCAAGGGCTGGGCGCACGATGCGACCAGGGGGGCGGTCGACGACGCGGGGGCGGCCGCGGCGAAGCTCGCCGGGATACGCGCGCGGAGCCAAGGACCAGGACGACTGCGTCATGAGCAGGGGGCGGCCAGTGGCCGCGACGTCGCCCAGGCTGGCGGCGCGCCTCGAGGAGGGGCGCCCGGGAAACGGCGTGCGTGGACATCTCCAAGACGGGGGCGTCATGGCCGCCAGCGCTTACTCCCTGGACGAGATGGCGCGTCGGGCCGCAAAGGCGAGTCTGGGGATTGCGTGCGATTCGCGACGGACGCGGCCACCTACGCGGCAGCGGCTAACGAGTCGGACAAACCAGGTGCCGATGCACGAGGCCGCGCGCAAATCGAGCACAGAGAATGACGCCAGGATACACCGTTGGCTCACTTCAGCGCACAGAGGGGGCGGCCATGCGTCCTGCGCAGCAACGGGGGCGGCGCCGCAGATGCAAGGGGCGCCCGAGGCGGTGGGCGAGGCCTGCGAGGCGTTTGCTTGCGACGCCTGCTCCGAGTCATTCAATCAGCGGCCATCCGCCCCGCCAGTGCCCTTGGAAAGTGCCCCGGCGAAGTGGGAGCTCTCCAAGGCGGGCCAGTTCGAGAGGCATCGCCCTTGCCTCGAGGAGAAGACGAGGGCCAGCGTGATCATCGACGAGGGGCGCTGTGAGCGGGTGGCCAAGAGGTCGCGCCGGACGGGGGGCCCCGCGGCTCATCGGAACCCGCGGCGGGGCGAGCTGAAGGGGTTCCACGAGGAAAGGTGGCCCCCCCACTTCCGGGGGCCGCGTCGGTTCGAGCGCGGCGCAGAATGGGCCTGGATGGGCGAGGCCGCGGCATTCTATTTTGACAGGGGCTCCATCTATCAGGACGTGGTTTCAGGCCATGCGCACTGGCGCATATCCAGCGTGGAAGAGGCGATCGGGGCGACCGAGGCGACAACGGATGCCCCGGTGGCAAAGAACCACGCCACGTCCAGTGAAAAGGCCCTGGCCCGCGCAGTGGCCGCAGGCCGCTCTCGGGAAGAAGTCCGAGGCCGCTCTTCCTTGCAGCGCGCGCTGGGCCGCTCCGGACATCGACGGTCATTTCTTCGAGCCCGACTTCGACGAGCGGCCCTGCGTGGACGCGCAGCGGACGGACCGACAATTCACCGACAAACGTATCTGCTAAATTGTGTCGCCGGATCAAAACAAGACAACTCATCATTTTGTATACGCAAAAACAGGTTTACGAAATTCAAAAACGGATTTTCTGAATCCGGCGCCGTCTTTCTAAATCCCAGTTCCTATCGTTAGTTATCATGACGTGAGTGGCTCGATCAATTCGGTCAGAATTACAAAAGGGCGTTCCAGGCTGAGCAAGAGTATTTCAAGCAGGTCTACCAGACGCCCCAAGATGGCTCCAATACGCCCAAAGAGGCCCCCAAAGGGGACACCCAAGAGGCACAAATCGTCACATGCCCTACGGAAGACGTACATGTTCAGAACATTTGATTTTGGTTTTCGCACCGTCCAAAACGGTCCAGGAGGCCCCCCAAACGGCCCTTGGGGGCCCCAAACGGCTCAAGTCGGCGTCAGGACAGCCCAAGAGAGGCCCCTGACAGTTCAAAAAGGTTTTCGAAATAGCCCCAAGAGGGCCACAGGAGGCCCGAAGAGGCGGTGTGGGGATTGGGCTGCTTGGGTGTGGGGACTTGGTTGGTTCCAAGGCAGCCCAAGAGCCCCAAAACGACTCTCAAGAGGGCCCCCGAGAGTGCTTCGGGAGGCCAAAGACATCATGAGTCCCCTAGAGTTTTTGAAGGTCTTGGGGGTTCTCGCCTTTTCGGGCTCAGAAAGGGCCCCGACGGCCCAAGAGGTGCCAAATATCGCCCCCAGACGGCCCCAGAGGCCCCAAATGGGCCCGAAAAGAGTCCCAGAGGGACCCCAGACGGCTCCGGAGGGTGCCACAACGGCCCAGGAGGACCCCAAGACGGCCCCACGAGAGCACCAAGATGGCTCTTAGAGGACCTGAAGAGGCGGTGTGGGGACTGGGCTGCTTGGGTGTGGGGATTGGGCTAGCCCCAAGGCGGCCCAAGAGCTTCAAAACGGTCCACAAGGGCCACCAAGGACTTCCAAAAAGCCCCACAGACGCCAAGTAGCACCATGGCTCCCCACAGCGAGTAAGAGTCTCTGAACACCAGGGCTCCTTGCACAAATCGGTAACGTAACAAGCTCTTCACGCCAAGGCTCCCCAGAGCGAAGGGTGCCATGAGCCCTCTCGGGCAAGTTCCTGCAGCGCTCTTTCCGTTCCCGTGCCGGCCCAGGTAACGGAAAAAGCGAGGTACGAGTGATGACGTTTTGGTGGGGCGAAGCCCTCTAGAGAGGGGTCCAGGGGAGGGGCGAGAGGGGGAAGGGATGGTCTAAGTGCCCCTTTCCCCCCCGAGACGGCCCAAGATGCGCCCAAGACGGCCTCGGAGGGGCGCAAGAGGGGCCCGAGAGGCGTCGAGGACGGCCCCGAAACGGTCCACGAGCGCTCCAAGAGACCCCAAGACCGTCCAGGAGCGTTCCAAGATGGCCTTAGATGGCCCAAAGACGGTCCAAGAGGGCCCCGAGACGGCTCAGGAGGCCTCCAAGAGGCCGCCCAAGAGGGCCCACAGAGGCACATGTCATTGATTTTTCAATCGTTCTTCAAGGTTCCCAAGAACGAACGGCAACGTAAAAGTCTCTGAACATTAGGGTTCCCAAGGGCGAGCAGTGACGTAACAAGTTCTTACCACCAAGGCTCTCAAGAGCGAAGGGTGCCGTGAGCCATTTCGGGCAAGTTCCTGAGACGCGCTTTCCGTTTCCGTGTCGGCCCAGGTATTATGGTGTTCGGCCCATCTCGCCATTGTGTTTGGGTTATGGGTATCAAGCCTACTTGATGTTCGTGGGGATCTTGTGGGAGGCCTCTCGGGAGCCTCTAGGGGGGCACTTTGGAGGCCTTTTGGGGGCCGTTCATCCTTGGGGCCTCTTGGGAGCCTCTTGTGGTCTCTTGAGGGCCTCTCCTCTGCGCCTCTTGGGACCTCCTGGGGGCCTCTTGGGGCGGAAGGCTCGGATTTTCGGTGCGTGTTTCTTCTCGTGGGCCTCTTTTGGGGGCCGTCTGGGGGTCCTCTTAAACCGTCTTGGGCATCTCTTGGGCCCTCTTGGAGGCCTCTTAGGCCGTTTTGGGATGGTTTTGTGGGTCTCTTGGGCCTCTTGGAGCGTCGGAAAGCCGAAACGGCGAAACGTCACAACCCTTCCAAAACCTAAGGACAATCAATAATGGTTTTTGCCTCTTGAGGCCTTCTTGGGAGGCCTCTTGGAGGCCTCCTGGGGCGTATTGGAGGAAGACTCCTCAGGAGTGAGGACTGAGGCTTAGAGGATTGGGCCCAGTACCTGAGGACACGCCTACTCCGTGCCAAGCGGCACAGTGGCTGATCTTCTGATTTCCCCTATGTGCGGAAATGTTCGGTGGGGCGCGCATATTTCTGGGATCGGCGATGGACCCGTCCTTGGAGCGCGTAACGCGCCAGAGACTGCGCCAGAGGCGCCGCCATGGGGGACCCAGCCCCGATTCAAGAAATCCGCTCGGACCCCCTAAGGTTTGTTGATGCGGTCTTATGTTCTTCTGCGACCACCTCACCAACCCTCGCTGGGCCCATCCTGTGCCCAAGAACGGTGTCTGCGCCTCCCTGGCCAAGCCAGGCGGGCGCAGACACCGATGCTGGGCCCAGGACTGGCCCGGCCAGGATCGGTGCGTTGGTCAGGTTGCCATCCCCTCACCAGGTGGAGCCCGTGACACGACACTCGAAGGAGCAGCAGGCGCGCACGCCGACCCGCGGAGATGACGCTGGCGTCTTCTCTCTTTCTGGGCGGCGGACTCTGCACGACTGCCGCCGCCCTGCTTCCATTCTTCTGGCTTCCAAGATTCCCGACCATCTCGTGGTGCTTGGGTCCTCGTTATGAAGAGACAGTGCCCCGCGTCTCCTCTCCTCTCCTCAGCTCTCCTCGCCTCGCCTCTTCCCATTCCTCCCCGTCCTCTTGCCGCGGTTCTCCGCATTTCCATTTCGGCACACCGCTCACACGTTTCATGACCCTACAGGGAGCTCCGCAGAAGGCCCCAGTGGCTGGACTCGCTCGCGGTTCCCCGCTCCTTTCGGAACATTTGTCGCACGTTTTGTGGCCCCATAGGGAGCTCCACCTGAGGCCGCAGGGGTTGTACTCGCATGCGGTTCCCCGCTCATTCCAAAACACCCCTCACGCTTTGTGGCCACGTAGGGAGCTCGACCTAATGCTCCAGTGGCTGGACTTGCATGCGGTGCCCTGCCCATTTCGGCACACTCCTCACACGCTTCGAGGCCTCATAGGGAGCTCCACGTGAGGCCCTGAATGGCCCTCCTCGCATTCGGTTCCCCGCTCATTTCGGCACGCAGAAGGCCATATTGGCCGTCCTCGCATGCGGCTCCCCGCCCATGGTGGTAACCCTTGACACGTTGAATGGCCACCGAAGGCTCCAGTGGCAGAGTGCGGCTCCCCGCCCATTTCGACACTCCCATCACATGAACCTCTGACGTTTGCGTAGCGGCCCCATAGGGAGCTCCACCGAAGACGATCCTCAGAACTGCGGTACCCACAACTGCATGTGGTTGGCCCCGTCGCCAGCATGATTTAGGCTATCCCCTACTGTGTGGTCTCTCTGCCTCTCTTTCGTTCTTTATGTGGGTTATCTTTATTAATCGCTTCGCTCATTCCGCCGGCCCATATTGGTGCACGGCTGTCGATTGCCTCAGTGATCGGAGTAATTGGGGGGCTTTCGGCGGGCTCTTGGCGGTATTTGTTGGTCCTCTTGGGGCCTGGGGCCTGACGTTGTTGGTCCTCTTGGGGCCTCACGGGAGCTTATTGGGGCGTCTTGGGGGTGTCTTGGAGAGTCTCTTGGGGCCTCTTTCGGGGTCCTGGGCGCCTTCTGGGGCGGAGGGCTCGATTTTTCAGTTCTCGGTTCCCTTCTTGAGCCCCTCTTGGGCCCGTCTTGGGGCCTCTTGGTCCGCCTTGGGCGGCACTTGGGCCGTCTGGGGGGCGCTCTTGGGCCGCTCCGGGGCCGTCTTGGGAGCCTCGTGGGCCGTCTTGGAGCAGTCTTGAAGGCCTCTTGGGCCCTCTGGGTGCGTCCGGAAGCTAAAAGGCCAGAACGCAAAAAACATAGAAACAACCAATGAAATTCAACGATTTTGGCGACTTGGGGCCCTCTTCGGAGGCCTCTTGGAAGGCCCTTGGAGCGTCTTGGAGGCCTCTTGGGCTGTCTTGGGGCCATCTGGGGGCCTCTCTTGGACCGTCTAGAAAGCTTCTCGGGGCCCTCTTGGACCGATCTGGAGCCCTCTTAGGCTCCGAAACAGAACTCCGGCATCTCTGACCCGACCTTGCCGGGGACTTGCCGGGACCTTGCCGGGGTACTTTTCGTCCGGGGACCCCCAGGGGCCGCCCCGCGCGCGCGAACTAGAAATACTGTTAACCAGGTACCGGAGATCTTAGCACGCCCTGGCCCGTTAGGCCGGCGAATTTATGATTTTTTTTTTTTTTTTTTTTTTTTTCTCTCTCTCTCTCTCTCTCTCTCTCTCTCTCTTTGCATTTCGCACTTAGGGCACCGCCAATGTAGCGCTTGTGACAGGTTCGTGCCATCTCGCCGCGGCAGCGAAGGTTTTCAAGGTTGACATCTGACGCTGGCGGCGGGGGCCCCCCGACAGCAAATATCGCCGAATAGAACGATTCACGTGGTGACAGAAAACCAGGGCCATCGCCGTCATGACTGGAACCCGCCGTACCCCCTTCACCGCCCCTGCTCCCCAGCCCAGGTGCTGCACTTCGGACAGACGCCGAGGCAGCTGTTCCAGCAGCCCCACCCGCCTCGAGAGGCTCCGTTCGACGTCGACGGCGGCAGCGGCGACGACGACTGCAGTGACGACGGCGGCGGAGGCAGCGGCGGCGACGGCGACGGCGGCGACGACACGACGGTGGCGGCAGCGGCGGCGACGGAGGCGGCGACGGCGGAGACGATGATGACGGAGACGGCGGCGACGATGACGACGGCGGCGGCGACGACGACCCGCGGCGAGGTTGCGGCAGTGCCCACGTTGCTGGATCCACAGGGGCGCGGCGGTTGTCGACGCCCCGGCGCGGCGGTGGCGCTGTGGCACTCAAGCGCCGCGCCCGCGCAGCCGCAGTCGCTGGGAGTGCAGTCGCTGGTCTCGGGCGGCGCGCGAGCGTTTGCTCCGCTACAAAAGTACATTATGAGGGGGTATTTCTAAGGGGGGAGATTCACCTTCCGACGGGTTTTGCCCCCCTTCCTCCTCCTCCTCCTCCTCCTCCTCCTTCTCCTCCTGTGAATAGAACCCGTGTAATACCCTCATATATACTCCTTAACCTCACCTCTCCTGCGCCTGGCCGTTTGGGCTCAGATATTGGGACAGATTGATCAGACCTTTGATCGTGCAGGAGGGAAAGACATCCATCTATCCCTCCTTCCCTCTACCAACGGATCAGGGGTTCTGTACCCTTGTACTTCAACCCATTCACAGGTTATCAGCCCTTTTAAGCTCACTGTTCATCGAACCCCGCGTCGCGATCTCGCACGCGGCCTCGATGGAACCCAAGCGGCGCATGCGCCGTAAGGGGTCCATTGGGGCCTCGCGTCCGAGCTCTCCGACGGCGCGACGGCTCGGTGACGAGTTGGAGAGCCTTAGTGCGGACTGTGTTGGTGTCCCAGGTACCCCCCCCCAGCTCCGACGGACCCGAGGCGCGGCTAGCTGCTGAACTTCACCGCAGCGCCGCCCGCGGGGGGACAGGAGAAGGAGTAGGAACAGGTAGGAAGGAGTTTCACACGCCTACCTTCGATCCTCCATCTCCTCCTCAATCGGGAGCAATCCCAACTGCGTCAGGCGAAAGCCTCACTGGTCCTGATACTGCAGGGCGCTTTCGCGCTAACCGCCGATGGACTTCAGGTGCTGGCACCCCCAGCCCTGCGACCGTTCCTGTTGCGGAGCACGTAGCCACCTTCGAGGAACTCAGTAGACCAGTGGCGGCACAACCGCAGACGCAGGACCCCAGGGTATCATCGGATGAGACACCACACACACACACGCGGTCCTAGCCGCAGCTCCTCCGCGCGTTCAACCGTCGTGGGGCCCCAGGCCCATGCGGCGAGAGTAGGTCGAGCCCGCGTGCAGCCTCTCAGAGGCCAAGCACTCCTCGCGAGTGGGGGCAGAGGGAAGCCTATGATCCCCACCTCTCCATCTCAGACGACCAGCTGGCGGAAACGTCCGCCGCAGGTGAAATAGCTGAGCTCAGAGACCAGGTTGAAACCTTCGTATCCAGGCAATACTCTGGACTACTGCAGAGCGTTCAGACGAACGCTGCCAATACTGCAGCCATACGCCAAGATCTTGACGGCGCTTTAGGGATCATCGATTCCAGGACTGCCGAAGATCGACGCATCATAGGTGAACTGCAGTACCAGGTTCATCGTGAGGTGTCACACTCAGGTGAACGAACGGCGATGGTCGAGAACCTGCGCAATTACCTAGCGCAGATGGAGCAACAGCTTGTGCTCGTACGCGACACAGGCGTTTCAGCAGTCAGGATCCTCCACGATGAGATCCACGACCAGCTCCGCAACCGACCAACACCAGCCGAGGCCACCGACCTTGGCGACGTTCAGTATCAAATCAATGATCTTCGATCCCACATAGACCGCACTACGGCGACGCTTCGCAACGAAGCACGCGCCAACTCGTCGAACCTGATCGACATGTTGCAGCGTACTGAGAGAGTCATCACTCAAAAGCTTGACGCGACCAACGCTGTCGTGCAGCCACTCACTAACCGGATCTCTGAAATCGAGCAGCGTTTTCCTGGCGTACAGGACGCCCTGGCAGAGTTGCGTGTCGGACGAGCCCAGACTGGCCAGCTGGATTCTCCTCCCACGATTTACGATTCCGCCCGCCTCACTGACAGGTTGCAGGAGGTTGAGAAGGCGGCGGACCACACGCAGCTGGAGCTCTCCCAGGTTATTCGTGAGAGAGATACTGAGAAGGTGCGTGTCGGGGAGCACCTCGCACGTCTGGAAAGTGAGTTGGAGGCGCAAGGCGCCCGTCTTCGAGCCTACGAGCAACGACTTGATCGGCATTCACAACGTTCTCGGGATACTGATGAGTACACTCGCCAAAAGGTGGCCCAAATACACGAAGACATGACGAGCTGGACAAATCAGCTGATCGACCACACAAACGACACCAGTCTTCACCTTCGACCTACAACCGACCTGCACAGGCCGACGGCAGCGTCCGCCGAAACACCACAAGCTTCTGCAGGACAACAACGACGTACGTCACAAGGAGCAGCCTCTGCGGCAGTTTCTGCACAGACACGCCATGTGTCTCCTGTGCGCACAGAACCGACTACTGACGGTGTACCGATACCCTCACAACCATTGTCTGCGGTTTCGGTCATTACTACTACTCCTATCAAGGAGTCAGACACCGTCAGAGCCCCTGCCTTGCCTAAGATAACGCAGCTGCTCGAGTGGCAGCACAAGGTGCGGAAGAACTTTGGCGCCGCCTCAGGGCGACCATCCAAAGCATATGCCTTCCTATGCGTGGCTGAACAGCCCGAGTGTATCTTCGAGGACTTACAAGGCAGTGGAGATTTTGAGAGCATCGATTGCAAACTCGCGACCGCTCTGAGCGACATCTTATCCTCAGACTTGCGCTACCAAATCAGGCTCATCGAAACCAGAGAGCGCAAAGCAGGACGCATGCTCAAAGGACGCCAGATATACTGGCACATCCTACAGTCCTACAAAGTGACAGAGGTTGATGACGACCTACACGACTTCGAGCGCCTTAAAGAATTGAGGATGAGAGATGAAGATTTGCAACGTTTCATTACCGACTGGAACGCTTTACTGTTGGAGTGCCGAGAAGCACCCGACCCAAAGATCTTGGAATCTCTGTTTCGTACGCAGATTCGCAGACCTGCTTGGCTGAAACAAGACATGTATGAGTACCAGCGCATGAAGACCAGCGACCCGAATCGTACCTATGATTGGCTCCGACAGCGCGTCCTGGACGTACTGGAGTTGAAACAATTGGAGAATAATCAAAATAAGCTACGGTACGAACATGAGACACGTTCTCAAGTCAATGTGTGCGCTGCCTGGAAGAAAGGCAACTGTCGCATTGGTGAACGACGCAAGGCTTTGCATACCTATTCCAGGGATTGGAAGAACAACAGATCTTCCAGGGCACCGACAGCCGGTGGCAACTCCCGCCGCAGCGCGTCAACCCCTGCGAGCCACAAGAAGCCAGCATCGAAACAATTTCGCTTCGAGTTTGCCAAGCGCAACACATGCACCAGAGGCGACAAGTGCAACTTTCCACGCGTTGCACAGTGTAAAGTCTTCGCACAGAACAAGTGCCCTCAGGGCGACAAATGCAAATACGCTCATCTTACACCTGGTGCGAAGACTCCCGAGCGAAGCCCGAGCCGACCACGGACCTCCAGTCAGGATAGTCGTGGTCGACCACCACCCCGCGGATCAGGAAGCCAACGTTCTTCGCAACGCGGGGGGTTCCGCTACGCAAACGACCCACGCCATGGACGTGACAACCGACGCCACTACGACCGATCTCGTTCATCCTCCAGGAGGTCTCCAGATTCTCGCAGTCAGTCGAGAAGCCGTTACGACAGATCTTCGAGATCTACCTCCAGAGGACGAGACAACCGTGGCGGCGGACGTGGCAGCCCACGCGGCCGTGATAGATCATGCGGTAGTGACAGAGGACGTGGCAGACGTTCCCCGAGCCGTGGTTCGTCCCGTGGTTCTCCCCACGCCAGAGCACGTTCTCCAGCCAACTATCGACGTTCGCGCCGTTCCGACCGCAGTTACGTCATTCGAGACAAGACCCTCATGGCCAACACTAAGGTCACTACGGCATCTGCCAAACCACGCCGTCGGATACGCTTCGACACACGTAATGGAATACTACCTACATACCGTATCTGGCAGGGCCCGATTGGACAAGTGGAAGGAGATGCCGAACGAGGGTGACATTGTCAATGCGCCAGACCCGCTACCACAACGATGGTGGGATCAAAGTGCAGACGCTCTACGAGAATTTCAAGAAGAGGCACAGCTCTGGTGCAAAGATCTATGACTATCGGCACAACAAGGAGTCGGTGGTCACACCAACTGCGATCCGAGAATACGACGACGCTGTCAAGCAGTCATCAAAGACAGCCCAGACGAAGACAACGACGATGCAAGTCGACCCACCACGCTCGACCGCTGCATTGACACGATCTTGGGTTCTCGACAGTGGTTCTGCGCATCATATTCAAGGTAAACACGAACTGACGCAGACCGAATCGGATCGCATATATATTCGCGAAGAGCATATTCTGGAAACTGCCAATGGAGATCGCACTGTCAACGAGCACTACGACATACGGCTACCCGAGGTTGGCTTACATAGTTCAGCCCTTGCCTTGCCAGACTGTCCATCTTTACTATCAGTTGGGAAATTGATTGAGGTTGATGGCTTTCGACAGCTTTGGGATCCCGAGCTGGGATACTTGCTTCAGGATCCGAGGGGGGGCAATGGTATACAGTTCCAGTCAACAATAGAGTTCCAGAATTACGACTCGACGATCTGACACTGATACCACCACCACGTCTATGCACTTCGTCAGCACCCCGACGTCGTCAGCGCAAGCGTTCATTCGCCCGCTGCAACGACATATGTTGGTGCTGCAAAGCTACAGAGCAGTCAACATCTGCAGATGAGCTGCGGCCCCACATAGGGACCTGCCCCAAGAGACCACATGTCGGCGAGGGAGGAGGGGCACGGACCGCCACGGTCGAAGAACCTCCCGACACAAATAACGCCGAGCATAACGTGGACACACCCACCGACTCGCTTAAGTCTCAGAAACAGTGTTCTCTTCCAACATGCGGGGGGCTATCAGATACAGCTCAAGCAGATACCGGCATCCCGACAGAGACGCTCACACTAGTGCACCACGACAATGATCGCGTTCTTCCAAGCAGACAGAAGAAACCGATTGACCCGATGCATTACATGACCCACAGTCCAAAACACCCAGACTGTGAGATTTGTTCTCGCACGATGGCGCAGAATGCTCCGTGTCGACGACAGCGCAAACCACATCCACCGGCAGACCCCAC